ACAAATTATTCATCACGCCGAAAATGTTCATGATTCCGCTAAACTAAGAAAGTTTACACATAGTTTTTCATCTCATAAACAACCATCAGCCCTGTCCAATGCAGAAATGCTCGAATTGAAGGGGAAAATTCAGGAATTGTTTTGCGTCAGCCATGTTTTGACGTGAACCTTACACGGCATTCTGTAATTAGGGTCTTCCGTCTCCAACGGAAGACCCTTCTATTATTCTATTGTTTCTTTTTCACTTTTATTAGGGTCTTCCGTCTCCAACGGAAGACCCTTCTATTATTCTATTGTTTCTTTTTCACTTTTATTATTATTATTATTATTCTTTTTTTTTCTTTACAATTTTTGTGCAGAAGATTTCTCGGAGTTGGCTCGATCGATTTGCTTGAAAATTTCAGGGAAGATGTATCTTTGTCTGAACCTTATACGTTTTTCTCATTTTTTTGAAATTCACTTCCGGTCCGAAGTTATCGCCCTTTAATCAAAGTTCAGAGGACCTTCTTGTCTGCAATGGAACTCAAAAACGACTAAAGCTAGATTGCTGAAATTTTCAGCGATGATAGAGGACAAGTTGGCATTGATCACCTGCGTTTTCAAATCTTCCGGAAGTGCCTAGTATGGAAGCTCGGTAGGGGTCGAAATTTAGAAAGTGATTTATGAGTGAATTTAAGAGATATTTCTTACGATAACTTTTTAACTATGAGTATTTTGTTAAAACATACTGAACAGAAATTGTGTAGAATTAGAAGATCTTTTATATGATATCAAACAAAAAGGGCTGACTCATCACATTAGGGGCCGAGAAGGGCCGAAAGTCTTTAATCAATAACTCTTTAACGATCAATATTTTGTAATGCATTACTGAAGCAAAAATGTTGATTTCAACAATTTGCAACTATATATTATAATATTCACATCATATGTTACATAATTAAGGGCCATAAGGGGCCAGAACGCAAAATGTTTGATGCTTTGTAACTTTAAAGTGGGAAATAATTTGATAAGCAATATTGAACAAAAGATGTTCAAAATAATGTTCTAAACAATATGCAACATTTCATTTTTTGCTAAATGTCCCCATTAAGGAGTTAAAGGGCCGGCCCCTTAATACTTCTTTTCCAAATATCTTGGAAACGAACAAGAATTTCTGAATAGTTGTTGAACAAAAAGTGTTCAAAATCATGAAAGCTTTAAAGTGGTATAAAGAAAAAGGGGCTGGCCCCTCAAAATAAGGGCCGGGAGAGGCCGAAAGTCTTAAATCAATAACTCTTTAACGATCAATATTTTGTAATGCATTACTGAAGCAAAAATGTTGATCTCAACAATTTACAACTATATATGATGATGTTTTTATTATATGTTACATAATTAGGGGCCACAAGCGGCCGGAATGCAAAATCTTTGACGCTTTGTAACACAAAAGTCGGAAATATTTTGATAAGCAATATTGAATAAAAGATGTTCAAAATAATGTTCTAAACAATATGCAACATTTCATTTTTTGCTAAATGTCCCCATTAAGGAGTTAAAGGGCCGGCCCCTAAATACTTCTTTTGCAAATATCTCGCAAACGAACAAGGATTTCTGAATAGTTGTTGAACAAAAAGTGTTCAAAATCATGAAAGCTTTAAAGTGGTATAAAGAAAAAGGGGCTGGCCCCTCAAAATAAGGGCCGGGAGAGGCCGTGCGTCTTTAATCAATAACTCTTAAACGATGAATATTTTGTAATACATTACTGAAGCAAAAATGTTTATCTCAACAATCTACAACTATATAAATATATTTTTATCATAATTAAGGGCCATAAGGGGCCAGAATGCAAAATCTTTGATGCTTTATATCTCAAAAGTGGGAAATATTTTGATAAGCAATACTGAACAAAAGATGTTCAAAACAATGTTCTGAACAATATGTATCCTTTCAATTTTTGCGAAACATCAAGGAGTTGAAGGGCCATCTAAATTCGTCTCTTGCATACATCTCGAAAACGAGAAAAAAATCTATGAACGGATCTTTTGTGATCAATATTTTGGCGACATTAAGGACTTGAAGGATGTAGCCCTAAATAGTACTATAACACTAAATACATTGTCATAAATTACTGAAGGGACAATATTGATCTTACCAATCTGCAGTCAAATATAATGAAATTTTGATCATATGCTACGTAATTAAAGACAAGAATACTTAAGATTTGATGATATGTATCTCAAAGGGAAAATAATTTAATAATAAATAATGAACAAAAGCTGTTTAGTATTTAGTATATATATTTAACAATATCTTTCAACTTTTGAAAAAATGCAGTATTAAGGACTTGAAGGGCTGGCCCTTAAATATTTCTATTCTAAATAGCTCAAAAACAAAACAAAACCTGAATAATTGTTGAATAAATAGTCTTCAAAATCACAAGACCATTCATTTGATATCAAGAAACAGGGACTGATCCCTCAAATAAGGGTTTCAGAGGGACTGAAAGATTTAAAGTTTTCATCTATAACTCTTTAACAATCAATATTATGTTACACATTACCAAACATTAGGGTCCAAAATTCTAAATCTTTGAAGCTTAATTTCTTGAAAAGTTTTGATAAGCAATGTTGAACTAAATCTAATTGAATATTTATCCTTCAAAAGGTTGTTATGAACCCTTCCCCTCTACTTGGCTGATGTTAAATCAATTTGACTTTTTTCACATAGAATGAGAATGTAACATATACAGTCAATCCTGGTCATCTTAAATCCTGTCGACTGAGACAAAAAGTTCAGAATATTAGATATTTCAAAATACATAAGGAATAAGTGGTTGAGAGTTCAAACTCACTATGACATATCCCTGATATCTGAGATATTGTTGTTCAAGATTCCAGATTTCAACTGTATTTCTATATACTCTTTTCCTTTATTGGACCAAAACCTGATAATTTTTATTGCATTGGTTCAATCCTGAAGATAAATATTGGCTGGTCTCCTAACTTTACTCAAGATTTTTATACCTCTTCCGTTAGCCGGACATAGTCCGTTGCCCCCTGCTCACCACGGGGAGGTGGAAGTAGGGTTTTGAGCAGGATATAAAATTTCCTATATAACTACTCCCTCTATTTCTATATATTACATGCAATTAAAGACAATGAAATTAAGAATATTTTCAACTACTACAAAAAACCATCTAAAAGAAAAAAAAATTTCCAAGTTATCTCTTTTTCATTGAAAAAATACACCATTGTCCACAACCTTTACCTCCAAAATTATTTTCTAGCACCCCGTCGTTAGCACTAGATTTATTTATACACAAAATGCCTTTGATTCACCTATTCATAACTTTCAATGTTATATACAATCTAGATTCAAAGTAAAGTCAGTAAACTTCTCATGACAAAATACTAACTAAGTCTTAAACTAAAACTAACTATCTTTAGTTCTTTACTGTCCCACACAAGGAAAGAAACATACAAATGCTTATAATAAATGATACAAAACACAATTTTTCCCCATCAGTAAACTCAGCTGCAAAGTCAAAAAAATTGATGTTTGTTGACAAAATTAATAAGCGTTCTCCTGTTTAAGAATCAACTGATATGAGTTATTTTCTTTGTTAAGTCATGAAAAAGTAACCCAAGTGAATTATCTGAACAAATAACTTGTTTCTACCATATGTATATGCTCCTGACAACTCAGTTTACCAAATATTCAATATCTAATATCATGCCAAAAGTATTCCAGTAGTTCCAAAAGTGTACACAAAATACCCATCACTAATGCTTGTTAATGTCTAACAACTTACCCCCAAAATTATCTTATCAACTGAGATATAACACAGCAAAAGAGCGAGAATTTCTTGAAACTGTCCTTTTTACAGATATCGTGATTTGGAAAAACTCATGTTTTTTTCGATCGGGCTCGACGTTATTTAATTACCAACACCAACAACTATGCTGGGCTACTCACCATATTGTTGTTATAAGACAGGATACCAAAAACGTATGGCATAATAAGTAAGCTAATATTACACAACTTTACTATTGGTGGGGTACTACTACCTTATTCCTATGTAGGCTAACTCAGAACTTGTCAATATTCATCAATAAACTACACAAAGTGACAGAGCATAATGAATACATATCCCTGCAATTTCAAGGGAAAATGCTAACTGGAGATGGTCATAAATAAAATCCAATTCCTTCGCATTAATATCAGAGTACACAGGGTACAACACTTTAATTTTTACCTTAATCCTATGTAGACTTACTCAAAACTTGTCAATATTCATCAATAAACTACACAAAGTGACAAAATGAATACATATCCCTGCAATTTCAAGGAAAAAATATGTACAAGATCTGCTAACTGGAAATGGTCATAAATCAAATCCAATTCCTTCGCATTAATATCAGAGTACACAGGGTACAACACTTAAATTTTTACCTTAATCCTATGTAGACTAACTCAAAACTTGTCAATATTCATCAATAAACTACACAAAGTGACAGAGCATAATGAAAACATATCCCTGCAATTTCAAGGAAAAAATATGTACAAGATCTGCTAACTGGAGATGGTCATAAATCAAATCTAATTCCTTCGCATTAATGTCAGAGTACACAGAGTATAACACCTTAATTTTTAATCTTTACTCAGTTATCCGCCAGTTTTTCTCTGTTTATGAAGATATCATACTTATTTTTCAAATAAATTACACTACATGTATAATCATCATCACTGCTGGAACTTGTCGTATACTCCTGGAATAATTATTATGTTAACTATTTTTTTCAGGATTGGTTTTTCTTTATTTACACAGGTGTAGATCAAAATGTACATCCTTGAAAAACTACAACTACCTTCAGTAATTCTATAACTGTGCAATAGCAATACAATAGTTAATGGGTTATATCCCAATAAAAATTCATTCTGAACAGGAAACTGTCAAGGGAAGCAATGATCTTCTGACATTGAGGGGAACAAAAAGACTGCTTGAATTCAAACCATGACAATTATTTTTCTAGGAATTTAAGAAATACAGCATCATGATAACTGTAGTATGTTGGTAATCGTTTGACATTAATCTTTTTTGAATTGGATATGTACACATGATCCAAAATAGTTCCCCCTTCGGTAGTACTAAAAGTTACAAGTTGGTTGAAGTGTTGATGCTCCATAAATCTTTGAATTGGACCATCAGATTTTGCATCCTCATTAAAGTCCCCCATGAGAATACAATCTGGATAAACTGACCTTGTGAAGTCAAGTACTCTCTGCAGACTGTGAAGGAAAGTTGTCATGTTGGCCTTGCATGGACGATATACAATCACAATCACAATTTCTTCCTGTTGTAATTTTAGAGCCATTGCTTCAATATTCATCTGTGGAAGTGGGAGAATGTCAAAAGTACCACTATTATCTCTCAAATATAATCCGACACCTCCACCTTTTGACTGGTGCAATTGTTGTGTTAAGACATTATTGCCATCATATGCCTCTTGTCTAGGAAGGTGATGAAACTGAAACCCATCAAACACAAAATTTTCTGTGTTCACTCCAGACGTTAACCATGTCTCTGTCAGGCAGATGATATCAACAAGTCCGAACCTCTCATCATTTTTCAAATCTCCAAAATGTCTGGTTAAGCTCTGGATGTTCTGTAGAACTACTTTGATCCCGCTGGATCTCAGGGCTTGTAAAAGGTTGTCAAAAATGAATTTCGGCATTTCATTTAAAGCTGTCTTTACTTCTGGATCAGCATAAATTTTTTTCTTTAATTTTGCTGGATCTTCTGTTTCAATAAATAGGCCACCTTCGGAAGTAACTCTTGACAATGCAACATAAGCTTGTCCTGGAGCAAATGTTCTGTCTAAATTTACAACAATTCTGTCTGTGGTCATTCCTTGCACCTTATGGGCAGTACATGCCCATGATAACCGAAGAGGAAATTGGTGTCTAACCACAGAAGCTGTTTTCTCCTTAATTTCTTCTTGTACTCTTTCTATTAACACCATGTTCCCATCTTTTGTTTTTTGTCCTAACTTTCTTCCAACTTCCTTGTTATCAAAAACTACCCCTACAGCTTTAAGACATGTTGCACCGTTTTCTTTGTATAGGAATTGAGAAACATAACCCATTACTCCATTAACAAGTCCATCTTCCACATTACAATTTCTTGTGAGCATTACTTTTGCATTGATGGACAATAGTAAGGAGTTTGGAAGGCCATCACTTTTTGATTTTGTGAAGGGTTTGTTTCTCTGTTTCAGTTTTCCAGATGTTTTGTCCTTTGTATAGTCTTCAGCATTAATTTCTAAAAAATCTTCACACGTTTTTCTTAACATTAACAAATTGAATGTGTATACTTCTTCGTTAGTACAAAACACATGAAGAACATCCTCTGGCCCTTCTCTGATACAGCGTTCTAACATCAGACTTTGTTCCTCTGTTAATGGCTCATTTGTCTGTCTTACACGAAGAGAGTTTAGCAACTCAGCGAATGACATATCTTTCTTTTGCCTCATTATCTCTTTTAATTCGATGACTTTAAAAAAGTCCAACCAGTAATCCACAGGATAAGTCAAATTTTCTTTATAGAGTCTCTCATTTTTCCGCTGCTTAACAGGAGGAAGCTGATAGAAATCCCCCACTGCGATTACACAAACACCTCCAAATGGATCTTTGCATTTTTTGATTTGCACTAGCCTTTCATGTACGTAATACAACAGCTTTTTGTATACCATTGATATTTCGTCAATGATAAGAATCTGCATGTCACCTATCTTTACTCTCATTTCACTAAGACTCTGTTCTCCCAATGGCTCATATGGCAAAGGCAGATATTTTGTAAGTGAAAATAAATGATGAAGTGTATTTCCACCAATGTTGAAGGCTGCTGTTCCTGTGAATGCTGAAAGGAGTACAGTTACCTTTTCTGGTTCAGGCATAATTCTGGAAAGCAAATGTGATGCTTCATAATGAATTGCTTTTATAAGATGACTTTTACCAGTGCCTGCACCACCAGTCACAAATAAGTGCAAGGGTTCACATTTTTTGCCATTTATCTTCGCTAAGCACCACTCACGAAGCAAATAAAATATTTCACTCTGTGTTTCATTCAAACTTTGGAGAACTGGTAACATTTCATCTCTTGAAATAACATTTTGGTGAACTTGATACAGCACATCTGCATTATTCATCTCACTTTCCATATCTGGTATATCTTCCCTATCATTCCCCTGTTGCACTGTATTTTCGTTCCTCTGTGCTATACCTTCTCTCCTTAGTACTTCTGTTTCTGGACATATGCGTGACCAGGCATCCTCTGGTTCACCATTCATTTCATATGCTTCTTGGGCAATGTCCAAGGACTCTTCATTTTGTGCATAATGTGAACGATTCAAATCTACAATTGATTTTACTGATTGCAATTGTCTCGTCCCTTTAATTTTCACATGACCAGTTTCATAAAAATCCTCATATAATTCGAATCCTGGTGGCTTCAATTGTTTCTCTATTCGGTAGGGGAGAAAGAGTTGCAATATAGATCGATGATATTTTTCTGACATCTTTTCAACATTGAATCTTGGATACCTTACAACAGCATGTTGTGTTCTTGTTCTTCGCTGCACATATCCCTTCCCATTCTGCAGTTCAAACACATTCTCGTTTTCTTTTTTTGGAACTTCAGATTTAGCAAGTACTCTGAATTCAGAGCAGAAATTTGCGAGACACATGTCATGGAACACTGGATTATCTGGACGGTTCTCATAGCGCTCAATTATGTTTGTCATCCAGATATCATTTTCATCATCCTCCTCATCACTGATTATTTCTAAATTTGATTTCTTTTTTATCAAAGAGAGTGGTTTGCTTAAGCGTAATGGGTTGTCACCAACGGGAACAAAAACAACTTTCCTCGAACATTCTTTCATCTTTAGATTGCACACCCTGTATACAGCTTCCTGAGCACTCACCTCTCTGTGATGCAAGTATGCAGAACCAATTTTTTTCATTGTCTGTCGAGCATCGAGATTTCCCTCTTCTGCCTCTAACTTTGTTTGTTTCAGTAACATGCCCATCTCCCTTTCTGATTTTGATATGTAGGAAACGATGTACACAATGCAACTGAATGGATCCAGAACAAACTGAATGTCCATATTAGCATCCCAGCATTTCAAGAGACACTGGTTATATTGGTTCGTCCACACCTCATTAGGGTTACGTTTGAGAACAACTGACCTCCTCGCTGATAACATGTTATAGGCTTCTTCGTATAGTTCCTGCGTTAGTGAAAGGTCATCAAATATTTCTTTTGTTGTTCTTCCTTCGCCATCATTTTGTAATTTATCCCATACACTAAGTAATATTTCTTTTGCATATGCTTTGTTTACTTTCTCCTCTCTAGCCTCTGTTTCAGACTTATCTATGTTCTCTTCTTCTGTGGAAATTGTTATAAATGTCCTTTGGGATGGAGGCCTTGGAAAGTTAAACCTACAGTCACTGCCCTTCTTCTTGCAAGATTTTGAATGATTCTTGCTATGCTGTTGTACATCCAAGACACTTTTTCTCAGTTCTGAGTCGTCAATATCTGAGGGTATGCCACATGTTACATATTTGTCAATGAAGTTACAAACAACTTCCTCTCCATCTGACTCAATGTTAGGTGCATTTGCAACCCAGTATAAACAATGCATATGTGGGGATCCTCTTTGCTGAAACTCGACTCTTTGGAAAAAGTCTACTACTCTTCCGATTGGTTCACAAGGTGAAAGAATGACTTCTCTATGAAATATCTGAAATCTATGTTCGAACATTCTAGCAACTGTGACAGGATTGCATCTTAAAACTTCATTCTTTTCTGACCATTCCATTTCATCAGGATTCCTGTCATCACTCTGCTGCCTTAATATAGCCCTAACTGCATCATTCCATCTATATTCTGCTGCACTAAAGGAACAAAACCAGGTAGGGATTCCTAATTGCCGCAACATTGCAAAGAGATCTTTCTGAGCAGTTGCCCAATACGCAGGTGTTCCTCTTATCGGTTGCATGAACCTTATTGCCTCATCATTCCTCAACAAACTAGAGAGGGTAGTGGGATCTTGAAGCATATTTGCTGTCACTGATTTCCCACTAGTACATTTTGACAAAGATTTTCTGAGTGAAATCTGAGTTTTTTCAATTACTTGGTTGAGTTCGGACATGTACTGGCTAAAGAATATATAATTTGTGTCCTTTGCAAACCTATTATCTGCATTCATTAACCTATTGTTAAAATACCTCGATAGTGTTATTTTTTGTGATCTTTCTTCATTCCAAGAAAATCTTCCGCTTGGAAAATGACAAGGAAATGCTTTCGCCTCATTCCCAGGCTCTTGTAGCATTCGGACAGGATTCTTCCCTTCACCTGGTGCAATGTTGAACACATCATCACCACAGAACTAGGTCAAGTACTCGAGTCTCGACAAGTCGTACGATATATATTTCGAATTTTTGTAACCTAAAAGTAGTCTCGTCCCAAGATGAATTGCAAGGGGTCATGGCACAAGACTATAACCTAAAAGTAACAGTAAAAAAAAGTCATTAAAAACGGTGTACTGTATCAAACCCAAACTTTAGTTCGCTTGAAAACTTACTTAATTATTTTATTTATTGTTCCTAGCCTAAAGTATTATACTTGGTAAAGAGGGAAAGGTCTGTTGAATACAGTAAAACTGTATCAATAATTATAGAATAAAACAAGCCTGAAATATATTTGACAATGATTAAATAGGCGAAGGCGCACATACATGCATACGCCTGTTCCAGCAGCAAGTGCTATATGTTTTGTTTTTTTAAATCAATTCTACCATCTACTGAATGCGCGGATCCAGCAATCTTTTCCGAGGGGTCACCCCCAAGTGAACTTTTCCCCTAAACGTTAAAACATGTATTTCATTGTCTGGGAGGGGGAGCTTTACTATTACTGCACTTCAGATTGAATTCATTAAATTACTACCTTAAAAGAAAAAAAGATGATTTATCGTGAGAAATAACACTTAAATAATCTACATTATTATTGTAAAATATCATCATTTTTTCCCTTTCATTTAAATTTGTATGATATGTGAAATAATGTGTATTCCTATCATCATAATTAATGCTAGTTCATTAATTGTTTAACTTTAATTTAAAAATTTCACTCTCTATTTTGTCTTTTCATGCCTTCTGGGCCAAAAATTAGAAATAAATACATTACTTACTGTATGACTCTTCAAACCAATTTAATAGGGATCCGCGTTTTCAAGGGGGTCCAAAGTCAGTTTCAGTAACGATGATATGTACATAAAATAACTCGATCCGCCAAATTCCAGGGGGAAAAGGGCCCGATACCCGATCCCCAACAGATCTGCGCATGTACTGTATATGTGCTTGTATGTGTCGGGAGGAGTCGATAGGGCATGAGGATGGAAGGATGAAGTGGTCACGGTTTGAAAAAAATAAAACAACAGAATTTCTTCATGAATATCTGTTTTTAGATGACGATTCAATTTAATTATACCACACCAAAAAATATTTTGTTCCATATTCGACATACTTTCATATTCGCGACTTTCCCCGATTTCGAAGAAATATATAGAAAAAATTTCTTTCAGCAACTGTTGATAGTTTTTTCCCTATTTTTGGTCTACTGTTCAGAGACCGGAAGAGCCGTCCGTCTGTCTGTTTGTCTGTCTGTCCCACAGGCACCTGACGAATGCATGGTGTACACCCCCCTCCTCCAATTCTGAAATCAAGAATACATCATTTCCTAGTCTATTATTCCTATATTTCGAAATCTAATAACATTTTCCACTTTTGTTAAGTTTTAAAGATTGGTCCTATTTAGTATATAAAAAATAAAGCTTAGAAACATAATCTTTTAAACACACAGGGTGCCCCGCTTCGAGAGAGATTTTCAACATAACATCGAAAGAAGAGGTCATCAAGTATTACTTTGTTTAGCGTAATGAAAAATCTAGAGATAGCTAATCGGAACTCTTTGGATGTTCTTTTCACAACCTACATTGACAGACTTTTGCATTAAAAAACAAGAGGCCCTGGACCAGATTGCACTGAGAAAAACCTCCTCTTTTCTAAAATTAAAAAAAACGGTTTAAAAAATCATGTATATAGGTTTTATCAATCTTTTAAAATTAAAATCAGCATTAAGATGCTTACGAAAGGGTAACAGCTCTCGTAAAGTTATGACAAATTCTACACTTAGAATCGTGAGAATTTTTGTGAACAGGAGTAATCGTAAGATTTCTTCTACAATGAAAATACAGGCCCCTACATTTTCTTTCTTACATGTATATATCTCAGACACAAAAAGGAATTCCTTTAAAGTTGTTGAACAAAGAAAGATTCATTTTGAAATTTCATTTGATTTCCTAGGGCTGTAATTAACGGTGTAAAGGGCGGGCGTGGATTCAGGATTTTCTTTTTTTTTGGGGGGGGGGGGGGTTCCACCCCAGTCAAAAAAAAAACTAAAATCCACTTCCTAAACGTAAAAACACTTATTTCGTGGTGGTAATGGTAGGGTCCACGTTTACTGGGAGGGGTGGGTCCAAAGTCATTTTTTATTTGCTTCAGTATACACTTTTAATACCTCTGCAAATTCCACTGGAGGTCCGGACCCCCCCCCCTCCCCGACCCCCCTCTTGATCCGCACACGAAGGGGATAGGATGATAAATCTTCTTATCTTTTATCTAAACGGGAAATAACAGGACAAAAGATCTTCAGAATACTGTTCAAATCGGCGGGGGAAAGAAATCAAAGGTATATATGACATTCTTCACATCTCAGTCAAAATCACATCACATCTCATTTATAATCTGACGGAAGACCCACTCGTTGCTCGCAACGAGATCTCATCTAGTTATTATTATTATTTAGACAAAATTTGTGCACGCAATATCTCGGGAACTATTCAGTGGTTTTTCATCAAACTTTCAGGGATGATGCGCTATAAAATGCCATTGTTACATTTGAAAGAATTTGGAGAAATTCGCTTCTGGTTCCAAATTATGGACAATTTTCTGGTTTTAAAATGAAATTTTATCCGCGCGAGATCTAAAGAACGGCTAAAGATATGAACTGGAGACTTGTTGGAGAGCATAGAACATGACTTTTAGATGTGCGGGTTTGCCTTTTCGTGCGTCGTGAGTACTTCCAGTCACTACCGAAAGCGAATTTAAAAAGTCAATTTTTTCAACTTTTATTTTTTTTAATAATTTTTTTTATTTTAGTAGGGGTAATAGAGATTCTTATCAAAATGCCTAATATATAATTTGTTTTTAAAATTGTCAACCAGAAGACATTTTAAAAATAGATTTTTTAGACAAATCTTGTGCACACAATATCTCGAGAACTATTCAGTGGTTTTTCATCAAACTTTCAGGGATAATGCGCTATAAAATGCTATTGTTCCATTTGAAAGAATTTGGAGAAATTCGTTTCCGGTTCCAAGTTATGGACATTTTTCTGATTTTGAAATGAAAATTTATCCGCGCGAGATCTAAAGAGCGGCTAAAGATATGAACTGAAGAAATGTTGGAGAGCATAGAACATGACCTCTAGATGTGTGGGTTTGCCTTTTCGTGCGTCGTGAGTACTTCCGGTCACTACGGAAACGAATTTAAGAAGTCAATTTTTTCAACTTTTACGTTTTTCAATATTTTTCTTTGATTTTAGTAGAGGTGATAGAGACTCTTATCGTAATGCTCAAAAAAAAAATAGATTTATTGGACAAATTTTGTGCACGCTATATCTCGAGAACGATTCAGTGGTTTTTCATCAAACTTTCAGGGATAATGCGCTATAAAATGCCATTGCTACATTGAAAGAGTTTTGGAAAAATTCGCTTCCGGTTCCAAGTTATGGACATTTTTCTGATTTTAAAATGAAATTTTATCCGCGCGAGATCTAAAGAACGGCTAAAGATATGAACTGGAGAATTGTTGGAGAGCGTAGAACATGAATTCTAGATGTGCGGGTTTGTCTTTTTGTGCGTCGTGAATACTTCCGGTAGCTACCGGAAGCGAATTAAAAAAGTCAATTTTTACAAATTTTATGTTTTTTAATATTTTTCTATGATATTAATAGGGGAAATATTCCTTTGCAGATGAAAGTTACTGAACATAATAGGTATCAGATTTCTTGAGCGTCGTGTGGCGAGACGTGTTTTGTTGCGAAACATTTCAGTCTTTTCATTAATGTGTTACTAATTGGAACAGTCCACTTTGGGGGTAAAGGAGAATATAAAATATGTAGGAAAACTTAGCGCTGCCTTTATGATACTTGCCCATACACGATATGTTATATGTACAGTGTGATAAATAAACATTCTTAGGCTCGAAAATCAGGCTATAACAACATATTTATTTTATTTCATTGAAGCTATCACGTACGCTTATTCAATTGAAGACACATTCCAAAGAAAAGGCGCGAAGATTTACTCGTGACGTTTAGTGCGAAATAATGTATCGTGACCCGCCTTTCACAAATGGTCTGATGCAGTAGTGTAGAAGTACAATAAAGGATTACACGGACATGTCTGTATTTGGAATTGCATAGAATAGAAAGTTGAAAGCATAAAGAATAAAGGAAGTAAACACAATAGTTTTTTTAAGTTTTATAAGTATCAGATTATTTCTTCTGCTAACTGTTATTCTTCAAACTCAAGTAACAAATTCCGATGTAAATCTTGCACAAAATTTAGCTGGTTAGTTTTCATCCTATAATTCTGCACTATAAGAAAAAATTAATCTGCCTGACACTCGTTACTTCAGGGAATGAGTGCAAGGTAAACATCGATGATGGCTGGTACATTGCGCTAGTGTAGTGGTTTCAATATCCTATTTCCAGGCAGCCGATTCTGGTTTAATCCCGACTTTATCTGAATTTTTTGCTTAAATGTACGTTTTCATCTTTATCAATGATGTTGAACTTTTTTTCTCTTTGTGAATTCTGTGCTCTTTTTTTATAAATAAAAAAATCTTTTTAAAGACCCATGTTAAATTTTTAGGTGTCTTTACAACGAGCAGATACAAATTCAATTTTACGTGCAAAGAATATCACGGTTAAGGA